TAGACAATCTGTTTTCTATTGCTGGTTATGAATAACATATGATGTTACAGCTGCAGTAGTGGCCACACAATTTTGAAATTCCGAAATTTTAACAATTGAATCTGGAGGGATTTTTTGCCAAAACCTTCTGGGTTCCGAGATTTGTTTCTGAGTCTCTGGGATCATGGCCGTTAAGCAGCTTAATCAGGAGCCAGAGAGGCTGTTCATGGGCGGTGACTCAGGGTCTTGTTGGGATGGGGAGGAAAGGGCGGCTCCACCCCCATCCCATGAGGCCCCACGTGTCTCGTCACTGCAGGCCCATACCTGACTGTCCAGTGGCCTCTGGAGAATGGCAGCCACCGAACCGCCAAGGGGGAGCAGGCGGAGGGACAGCACTCTTCCCCCGCCTGGGGTGGCCCAGCAACAATAACCTACTGCGGGGTCCAGACACATTTCTGCCAAAAGCCGCTGGGTTCTGAGATTTGTTTCTGAGTCTCTGGGATCATGGCTGTTAAGCAGCTTAATCCGGAGCCAGAGAGGCTGTTCGTGGGTGGCAACTCAGGGTCTCGTTGGGACAGGGAGGAAAGGGCCGGCTTCACCCCCATCCCGTCACGCCCCACATGTATTGTCACTGAGGGCCCAAACATGACTGTCCAGTGGCCTCTGGAGGATGGCGGCCACTGGGCCGCCAGGGGGAACAGGCCAAGGCACGAAACCTATTCCTCCCCTGGGGTGGCCCAGCGCCGGTAACCTACTGCAGGGTCCGGACACATTTCTGCCAAAAGCCCCTGGGTTTCCACTCTTTGCATTAGCCAGAATCTGGAAAAAACCTGAGTGCCCAAGAACAGATGACTGGTTAAAGAAACTTTGGTACATCTACACAATGGAGTACTATGTAGCTGTTAGAAAAGATGATGAATTTTACATACAAGTGGTACCACATGGAAAGTATCATGCTAAGCGAAATGAGTCAGAAAGAGAGGGATAGACATAAAAAGATTGCATTTATCTGGGGGACATAAAGTAACAAAATAGGAGATTAATACCCAAGAATAGCCGAGATCAGTACCAGGAGGATTACTCCATGGCTTAGAGGCCAGCCGAGCATTCTAGGGGAAAGGGCAGCTCAGATAGAGAAAGGAGCACCAAATAAAGGGTGTTTGGAAGATCCTCCAAGGAGGGGAGATACATGTTGAAAGTAGACTATGGACTGAACATGATTGCCACCCAATGCCTCTCTTGCAGACCACAACACCCAAAAGGAGAGAGAGAACAAAAGGGAATGCCCTGCCACAGAAGCAGGGTGGGATGGGTGGGATGGGTGTGGGAGGGATACTGGGATCCGTGGTGGTGGAAAATGGGCACTGGTGGAGGGATGGGTATCTGATCATTGTATAATTGAAACCCAAGCACAAAAATTTGTAAATCTACAACTGTACCTCATGGTGTTTCACTAATAAAAAAAAAAGCCGCTGGGTTTCAAGATTTGTTTCTGGGTCTCTGGGATCATGGCCGTTAAGCAGTTCAATCGTGAACCAGAGAGGCCTTGCCACCAATTATATAGCTGAGCCGGAGGAGGTTTGTGGGTGTGTCTTCCACATACCTAACTCTTGGCCGTTTACTTTCTTGGTAAACTTTGCCCCAAGTTTTTGGGGTCTGGCCAAAGGCACAGCAGCAATTTGGAGGTATCTGGAAGTCTGAAGGTGCCATAAGGTTGCTGATGCACTCGTCTCACAGGTACAGATTGACCTGCTGGTGGCACCATACCCCCTAACTTAATGCATTTTTAAAAATAATCTGTTTTATTAAGAATCCAGTTGAACCATTAAATAAATAATTCCTGAGTGAAGCACATTATACTCTTGAGTCTTTTTTTTCCTTCCTTTCTTTTAAATTTTTTTCTTGAGTTTTTAAATGGAAAGAAATGTTCTAATTTTAGTTCTGATTGAGTGTTGGCTGATATGTGAAAGTATATTTGGTGACTAATCTTTTTTTAAAATTTGGCTTATATACAGTGAAAAGAAAATGTATGCGGAGTACAGTTCAGTGATTTTGACCAAAATAGTAAAAGCTGTGTCCACCATTTCAGTCATTGTAATGGATATTTCCATTGTATAGACTAGTCTGTGCTTCTGTTCTTGGAAAGCCATAGTCTTTTTTTCCACTATCATGTTTCTTTTTCCAATTTTATTTTTAGGTTTTTGTTTTTTGGGGCCACAAACCTTGGAATTTAGGGCTTATTTCTGGTGCAGAGCTCAAGGATCACTTCTGGAAGGGTTCAGGTTACCGCATTGGGTACTGAGGATAAAATCCTGATTGATCGTGTGCAAGGCAAATGTCCTACCTGTTGTGCTGCCACTCTGTTCCCTATTTCTCACTTTTAAATGTGATCTCGGGCTGAAAATGAATCTAAGTTCTAAGGAAAGGGAAAAAGACATTGTGGTCAACCCACTCAATAGGATACCACTCCGCTATGAGAAAAGGTAGAATCTTGCATTTTGCTGTAAGAATGGTATTAGAGGATGTCATGTTATCATGCTTAACAAAATAAGTTGCAGAAAAACAAATCCTAGATAACCTCATTCAAGTGTAATAAAGAAAAACAAGCAAGGAGTAGACCATTTACAGCGACTAAAGCTCTTGGACTCAAGTCTGTGGCTACCAAGAGGTGGAGTGAATGGGAAATGGAGGGATATCTGCACTTTGGTGTACATTCATTACATTTGAATGTAATGTGGTAATATTGTTACTTCAAAAACTTAAAATACTACCGCTTTCAAAAAGTTAATTTTACCGCCATTGGAAAAGTTGTGAGAGCTAGTACAGGAGTTAAGGTGCTAGCCTTGCATCCCTTAAACCCTGGTTCAAATCTCCAGTTCCTCATATGGTCACCTGAGCACAGCCAAGGATCACTCCTAAGTGCAGAGCCAGGAACAGAGCCTGAGAATCTCCAGGTGTTTTGGGGAAAACAATAATAACAACAATTTCAATTTTGATATTATCTAATGACAATATGTTATGAATATGCAGAAAGCCATTGATTGGTACGTAGCAAATGCGTGAAAGAATAAAATGAATAAAGCTCAATTAAGCTGTCATAATAAACAAATGAGAACAACATGAGTGACTGCTATTACTACTGTTGTTTACAAGGTTCCAGTTAATGACATTAAACATGGAAAAAGGTATAAATACTGGGAAGGAAAAGGAAAATTATTACAGAAATGATTTCAACTACTCATAACCATAAGAAACTATTTTTAAAAAGAGAGAACCACTAAAAACATATGAAAAGGCACTTATTAAACATCAAAAATTGAGGTGATGGGATAATATCATTACTATAAAACTTTTTTTTTAAAAAAGAAAAAAGACATTGAGTTCTTTATTTACTTCATTAGATTTCTGGGAAGAATTGGGATGGGAAGAATTATGTCTTGTTCCTGGAAGACTCATCTAGTTCTGGGGCTCACAGGACACTGAGGCTCAACTTTGTAGGGCAGAACCTTGGCTTTGACGTGAAGAGTTCTCTTAGGGCTTCCGTTCCCTAGGTTTTCCTTGAAGCAGATGGGAAACTTGGGCTTCTCTAGTGATATCAGCTTCTGTCTTCAATGAAAAAAAGAAATGGTGCAAAGACCATTTATTTGTTCTTAAGCTGCCTCATGGAAGCAAGAAACCATCTTGACTTGAGGGATGAGGATCGAGCCAGCAATTGTTTATAGATGGTTGATCCTTGGCGTAGCAAGTAGCATGACTTAGCCCTGCGGTCATTGCAGGAATGTTCATCTGGTGGTTGCGGGAGGCTTTGCCTTATGAGAGTTCTCCCTGCTCTAGTTTCACTTGCCCTGAAGAAGATGTCTGGTCATTTCCATTCCCTTCGTTGGAACGATTCCAGGGACAAATCTTTGAAATTGCACATAATAGATGTGTGCTTGATAAAAATAAAAAAAAACTCTTCAGATGGTTCAAATTTTAGATCAGTGGTGAGAGTTGAACTAATTAAAGATACTTGGTTGTAAATGAAACTGGGCATCTTTCTTTTGTGTGTTTCCCTATATAATAAGCATGCAGGATCTTTATCGTTACTTTTTTTTTTTGGTGGGGGGCAAAATTGGAGATGCTCAGGGTTTGCTCCTGGCTCTGCACTCAGAATTACTCCTGGCAGTGCTTGGGGGATCATATGGGATGCCGGGGATCGAACCTAGGTCAGCCATGTGCAAGGCAAGTGATTTATCTGCTGTCCTCTTGCTCTGGCCCCCGTCTGTATTTTTTGGTCCTATCTGTATATATTGCAGCAGATTTCTAGGGCCATATCTGTAACCAAGAAACATATGGGAAAATTGTTATTTTTCTTATGCTATAATGTAAGTCATACAAACTTAGTGTGTAAATTCAGAATTCTGATGTATACATTTCCTGTCATAAATTAGAATTATAAAGGGGCTAGAGAGATAATAAAGGGGGTTAGGTGGTAGACCTCAGTGTAACCCCAACACTGCATGGTCCTCCAAGTTTTTCTGTACAACTCTGGCGACCCAGGAGTACCAGTGACCGTGGCCCTGTAGGAGTCTGAACGCCACTCGGTGGCCCAGGTAATCCCCAGCACGTAGGGCCAGAGCACCACCTCATCCTCAGACCTTGTATGATACTGGTGACCGGAGTACCCTGCACTTCCTCAGCTCTTCTTGGGAGAACTGCCTCTCCTTCTCCTCCCTCCCTCCTCCATTAGATCACTGCAATAAAAAGGAAGGTAAACTATTGGAAACACCTGAAGGAATATTCTTAAGAATTTTGTCTGTACATCTTCTGTGGCATATTTAAGGTTTTACTAAACTGAATTTTTATCTTTTGATAACCATATTCTGAGAGTCATTAGTGTGAGGGCACTTTTTGGTTTTTATTATTGGGAGAATCCTCAGTAATTTTATTTTGGATTCTGTGCCAGCTGACCTTTTTACTTGTTTTTGTGACTAGCTCTTATGCATCATGCTGACTCTTATTCACCTCATCTCTCTAGGTAGAAAACGTCCGCTTGGTAGATCGATTGTCCTCAAAAAAAGCAGTTGTGGGTACTCTGTATTTGACAGCCACCCATGTCATATTCGTGGAAAATTCACCTGACACAAGAAAAGAAACATGGGTATGTGCTTCTTTAGCCTTTTTGTACTTTTCCTTGTTGAAAATCAAATGTTTGAGTCATGGTTTTTTTCCTTTTGCTTTTTTCCTTTTCTTTTTGACCCACACCTGGTGATGCTCAGGGCAGACACCTGGTTCTGCACTTGGGAATCACTCCTGGTGGTGCTTGGGGGACCATATGGGATGCTGGGGATCAAACCTGGGTTGACTGCATGTAAGGTAAATGCTCTACCCACTGTACTATAGCTCCGGCCCCTGATAGTTTTTAATTTATCTTGGGCTGAGTTGGGAGGGTATTTGCTGTTTTGACATTCAGAGAACCAGGTTTTGGGGATGGGAATTTGACTTTTTTTCCTGTCCAGAGTCAAATCTACTTGATTTACTTACTTATTTTAAACACTAATTATTTGCACATCACCAAACACAGACCTAGAAATAGCCAGAGGTACAAGTGCTTCATGACCCAGCTGTCAAGTAGAGCTTCCGTTATGTCCATCTGCCAGAGAGTATCACAAAGTCCCTTTTTCCCAGTACGTTTTGTTGTAGGACCCATTCTGCAGGTCCTTCAGTCTCTCTACTTTCCCAATAACTTAAACAAGCAATAGAAGAACATCTAAGGAAGATTCCCATTTTCAGATATTTCTGTTATTTAATTATGAGACTGCTATGGTTTCCTTAGTCTGTTTTGCTACCCAACCATGCCATTACTTGGAGCCAGAGTCTGTGAATTGTCAATTTTCCCTTTTCTGAGATCTCTAGACATTATTATATTTCAGGTACTGCTTAGCAGAGAAGACTCAAAAGAATGAAGTACTCCAAAAAAGATGGTCTCAGTATGAGTTATTTCCTGGAAAATAAATCTTTTCTCCAGATTGCCTGACCCCCACAACAGCTTAGAAAACAAAATCTCAAATTGCATTCCATGTGGAATTAAGGAGCATGGTGCTACCTCCCAGAGGACCCATCTCTAACTTTAGTTGATTGCAAGGTTTATTTGACTAACATCTCATGACCAGTATAATTTTAGCTGTTCAGTATATTCACCATTTGGATACAATAATGGCTCTTTACCTAGACTTGTACAAAAGCATAGATTGAAGAGTCAGTTTTATATAATTAGCCTCGAGAGCAGAAGCCTGGGAATTAAAAAAAATAGTTGATTCCTCACAGATGTCTCATTCTTGTTTGAGTGCCGGTGTTGAGCTAGCTAATGGATGAAGAGCATCTTATGTCTGCCTGCCTTGTTCTGTTGATTAGTTATTTGTTCTTAGCTTTGACCACATTAACTTTGGATTATAGATTCTTCACAGTCAGATCTCCACCATTGAAAAGCAGGCAACAGCCGCAACGGGGTGTCCTCTGCTTATTCGCTGCAAAAACTTCCAACTGTTACAGCTAATCATACCACAAGAAAGAGACTGCCATGATGTGTACATCTCTCTGATACGCCTTGCAAAGCCAGGTAAGCCAGAGAAACTTGGCTGTGTGTATGGATCTTGGCACCCACTTTTAAGAAATTCACAAATCAGTTTGGGTAGGGGTTGCATGCAGCTAACCATTGTTCCATCCTCAGCACTGCATATGGTCCCCTGAGCACTGCCAGGAGTGATCCCTGACCAAGAGCCAGGAGAAAGTCTTGAGCACTGCTAGGTGTGGCCCCCCAAACCATAAATAAATAAAATAGAAGAAAGAAAGTCATAACTCACGTTCATGAAGTTTGCATATTGAGCAAGAACGAGAGTGTGTCGGAATTGTGTGGTATCGCAGTCCTCACTGTGTGCCCTAGAAATCCAGGTGATACATCTCCTGTCTTTTTTGATCAGTCCTTGAGTTATTTACTGTATGAGTCTCATTCATCTTTCCTTTCCTTTTGAGGTGTAATTATCTTAGTTACCAACCTCTTCATGGTAATGAAGCTATCTCAACTGAGGCCTAAAATGAAACATCTTATTTTGTGAGGAAAACATGATCACTGAACTATTTTAATGTTGTGTTCTTCCTCTTATGGATTTTTAAATGTCATTTGTGGGAAATGTGGTGTTTTTTGTTTGTATATACATATATACACACACAAATATAAAATAGACATATCTATCTATATACACATATATAATAGGCATATATATCTATACCTAATATTAATCATGATCACGATCACGATCATCCTGTTGTCTGTTGTTCGTCGATTGCCTCGAGCCGGCACCAGTAATGTCTCCTTCGTCCTAGCCCTGATATTTTAAATAGTGCCATATTCAAGGCTCTTTCAGGGTTAGGAGAATGAGACCCATCATTGTTACTGGTATTTGGCATATTGGGTACACCATGGGGAGTTTGCCAGACTGCCGTGTGGGCAGGTTACATTCGGTAGCCTGCCAGGTTGTCTAAAGTAAGAATGAGATAATAAGATGTTGCATGGCCACTAATGCGGCTGCGTGCTTCCGGGAGCTGGGTTTTATAGTCTCTGAGTCTTGGACTTTGATGGGATTAGACGGTGCTGGGGGGTCAGTTGGTGGGTGTGACCCCTGCCCACTGGAGGATGGAGGATCTGGGTGAAGGATACTTAGCCCCGATCCAAGCAGGCTTGAAAATCTCAGCCCCGGGACCCGCATGCCTTTGTTCCTCTGCTGGTACCTTCATGCGTGTGGAGAGTGGTCTCAGCATGGTTGTGGCTGGTTCTGGAGGTCTTTGGCTGCCGGAGCTCTGCTCGGGGCGGGGAGGGAAACTCAACCCCCCCCCCCCCCCTCCATGGGCCCCGGTGAGGATAGCCAGGCGTGGGGGCAGGAGACTGTGCCGTCTTCTTCTGGGAGCTGGGTTTTATAGTCTCTGGGTCTTGGCTGTTGATGGGATTACACGGTGCTGGGGGTCAGTTGGTGGGTATGACCCCTGCCTACTGGTTCTGTGGGGCTTCACTCATGCATGCGTCTCGGCCTGAGTATCTGGAAAGCGGCCTGGAGCGTGGCAGCGGCTGGGTAATGGACGTAGTGGAGGTCTGCTGATGAGGTGTTTATCTGGTACCGGTAGGGTGGGGCTTCTGGGTGTGTTAATATTACACAAGGGGCTTCTGGGTGTGCTAATATTGATATATATCTATATCTTATATTCTTGGGAGAATACAGCAAAAAGAGGTTATTCATATAAAAGTATGACACTGTTCAGAGTCACACAATAGTCATTGGTAAGGGGAAATAAGCTTATAACTACTTTGCTAAGAGCTTTTAGATTCAGAGCAAGTTTTGTCCTAAACTTTACAAGGTATTTGGTTGAGTTCTGAGTTTCTTTTGAAGATGGCCATATCACTGATAGACAGCTGGGAGCTAAAGCCAGGGAGCTGTCAAAATATGGTCATTTTGACTTTGCCCCATTTCAAGACAGCCATTTCATCTTATTGTGTTAAAAAGAACTGTAGCGTTTGCCAGAAAAGTAATTGAACTTTCTAGTGGGTGCTCTATAATTGGAACATGAGTTCTGGGAAGATGTACATTAGGTTGTGTTCAGCACAAAATGCGAGGAGACTTGTGCCAGCAATTTCTGTGTTAGTGAGTAATGGATGTGGTAGATAATAAATGTGCTCTGATCAGATTAATGGGATTTAGGAATAGTCCAGAGAACTTGGGCCGAGCCAAGCAGCCAGAAGAGTAGACTTCAGAGGCACTGAGCTTGGTGACTTCTGCTGACAGGAAACAAAAGTGACTGTGTCTCTGCTGTAAAAAATAGGCTCTTTGCTTCGAGAAGTTGGGAGAGTTAAAGGATATAGTCAAGATCCCTTCACCCCCCCCACCCAAATATGAAAGAAAACTTAGTAATTCATTGAGTTAAAGCCATTAGTTTAGAAGATTTGTTTTGTTGGGGAGCCACACCTGGCAGTGCTCAGGGCTTACTCCTGGCTCTGCTCTCAGGGATCCTCCTGGCAGTGCTCGAGGGACAATATGGGATGCCAAGGATGGAAACCAGTTTAGCTGCATGCAAACCAAGAGCCCTGCCTACTATCCTATCTCTCTGGCCAATACCTTAGGAGATTTTGAAAATGCCACCAGCATGTTAAAACTTTGGAATTAGAAAGTCTTATATAAGACACGATGCTCTAGTAATTGTGGGAGTAATTATGCAGATAAACCCAAGTTGTTTCATAGGTTAATGGTAATAGCAGTGCTGAAATTTGAACCTATTTCAAAAGCTTTGGAACAGGCTTTTGAATCCAGAGGGAGTGCGTGAGAGGTCGGGGGTGGGGAGGGTGGGGGGTGTCTGTCTGGCTAAGACTTACTTATCAAAACATGATGAGACACTTTTGTGAATTATATCTTCTCCCTCCTCTTGGTATATCAGATTAAGGGGGCGCGTGTAAAGGGGATGGGGTAAAGGAATTGCAATTTTAATTCTAGAACCATAGTAATTCACTAGCATGGATCCTTTATTTTCAGTTTCCCTAAGGATTCAGCTATTGCAAGGTCCTATAGACAAGTGTTTGTTAGCCTTTCCCCCCACTGAGGCCCCTTGTATCCAGTTGACTTCATTGTTTTAGGCCATATCGCCCTTACTAGCTTTTCATCTGTGCCCCCTTGGAATATCTTGAGAATCCCATGGTGGAGCCATATGCCACCTCTCCCACTTGAGAAATACTGCTGATAAAGACAAATTTTTTTTCCCCGTATGAACAATGTGAGGATTTGTGCGTGTAGCAAAATCACCGTAACATGTCTTACAGATAACATTTATTGTCACACATACACTTCTCCTTACACTTAAAAAAATTAGAATTTAGGTAGTTCGAATACTGTTAAAGCTTATGGCACCATTGTACAAAATTACTGCACCCCACCACCTCCAAGGTATCTTTCTCCTTCCATCACTGTCCCTGAATCATTTCTAGTCCTGGATTTTTTTGTTTGTTTCATTTTGTTTTGGGGCCACACCCAGCAATCCTCAAGGTTTACTACTGGCTCTGCACACAGGTGTCAATTCCAGCGGCCCAGGGGACTATATCATATGCTGGCGATCGAACCCAAGACGGCTGTGTGCAAGGCAGGTGCCCTCCCCACTGGGCTGTTCCAGCCTAGTCCAGTCCACCTCCCTCCTTCTCTCCACTACTGGCATTGGTTTTGTTCCAATGCCAAGGCATTATTTGGTACAGTCTATCAATTCTCTCTCCTCCGCCCCCCTCCACAGATGAGTGTGATCATCCAGTGTTAGGAAGATACACTTATCGCTATTTTTATTTTTTATTTGTTTTCATTTGGGGCTCCCATCTTGCAGTGATCAGGGATTAGTCCTGACTCTGTGCTCAGCCATCACTTCTGGAAGTGCCCGGGGAGATTTGCCAGGAAACCAGCTGGGTTCTGCTGCTTGCGAGGAAGGCATCTCTCTGCTCCCTAAACATGTTTGTTGTTGTTGTTGTTTAAGCAAAGAAAATGTTTGAGTGAAGGCTGTATTGTTTAAAACTCCTCTGATTTTCTCTTTAGGAATTTAGGGATCAGTAAATCAATTTATTGAAAAATTTTGACTTTATTGCTCAATGTTTTATTTTAAACCAGACAAAGAATTTTGTCTTAAACTAGATAAGAATGCCAGCATAAACTAATGTAGCTAATTTCAATAATTTCAATAATTTTCACTATGTATTTCTTTAATACATAGTGAAGAAATAACTTAGGTGAAAATAAATAATGGTGTGTCCCGAATGAGAAACTAGGTTAGCCCTGTGGATACAGTGTACTCATCAGAATATACATTTTTCTGATTAAAAGATCTCTATTTCTCAGAGGATTTTAATTTTTCTTTCTTCTCTGCTCCCTCTAATTTGTTTCTTGGTATCTGTTTTTGAAAAAAAAAAAGTCAATTTTTTTCTCTCTGTAATGCTTGTGGGCTCTTTAACATTCAACCATTTCTTTACTTAATTTTCCTAAGCAAATTTTTTTCCCCAGTTGATCTTAGTCCCCAATTCTTCTATTAGTCATGATTTTGAATATCTCATGGTTGATGTAGTCTTCTTAACATAATTTAGCTTTTTTACAGCCTTGCCTAAGTCCTTGCTATTTAATTTTTATTGAGGTAATTAGATTTGATGATAGTACTCTCTCCATCCAATCATCCTATTCCACTAAATGTGAAACTTCTCAATCTTAATGTCGAATTCCAGACCTTGTTTGTTGACAACAGAGAGTGAGTCTCTTATTATTTTATATTAAATATGAAAGAAGTGAAAGTATAGTGGGGAGCATTGCTGGGTGTGACCCAAAAAGAAAAAAAACAAAAGGAAAGTCCAAAATAGTTTTATCTTCTCACCCCTCTTACATGGGTTTCTCAGCCACATTTATTTTAAGTTGTCTGAATTTAGCAGAGTATTTGGAGCAAATTAGCTTTTAGTCATTACTTTTGTTTTTAAAACCAGTTTCTATGTCTTCCTAAGAGCTGTTGGCTAACTTTTCCTTCCCCTAGACACCCCTCCCATTCAGCTACTACTGATTC